CTAGATCAAAATTTCAGTTATAAGGTCGGTTGTATAAAAAAGTGATTAAAGTTAACTATAGTTAAGTGGAAACGTCATCCAATAAGAAGCACCTATTTGAAAGTTAATCACTATTTAACTACAAAATAGTGATTAAAAAAGTGGTTAAGAGTTTTATACAACCGGCCCCAGCATATGATTTCACAAAAGACATCACAATAAAGAGTAAAATTGATTTCATCACGTTTCGTAGAGATTGCCAATATTTAATAGTCAATGTTATGCCTATAGTTAATTAATGCAAGCGGAAATGTCTATCAAAAAAGCATGCGGTCGTACTTTTCACGATTTTGTGCTTGTGTTGAGCGGGCGAGAATAAATATAATTTTCAAAATAGCGTTAGAAATTTCTAATTTAGCGAGTTGTTGTGAATATGGGAGGCAACTCACAACAGTAGTCTAGGACCTGTATATGAGTTTGTATGCATTTCATTTAGGACAGATAATCTCAACTGTTTTAGGGCAAGTTGACCATGACGGTCAACATTGTAACGCTGCCCGAACCCCAATCCGGGGCGAAACGTCCGAAACTGACCACACCCAAAAACGACGCTTTCGCCATACTGCTATCTACCAAACCATAAAAGCTTTGGCTATTCTGCGGTGCTTATATGGTTCAGAGATGGTACTTTTGGGGGTGGTCATTGATAAGTGTGAAATGCCTAGCACTAATATTTCACAAGAAATGACCATGCAATAATCATAGTTAAACGTCAATTTGTGGCTTGCAACTTCAGATAAACAGCAGTGGACTTACATTACCTTTTTCCCTAAATCTTTTTGATAGAAACATAATTGGTACTTATTTAAATATATTATCACTGGTTTGGTGTAAAATAGTTATTATTTCTGACCGAAATAATAATTTGAAATGTGCCTACCTCCTGCAAATGGACGTATTTGGCCAAGTTCTCCACTTTACTCCGCTGTTTATCGGCGATCTCGTCGACATCCTACAAAAAATGTAAATCATCTCAGACATAATGGTATCAAGAACATTTTAAACAAGTTTCAGCTTGGTTTCAAGTAGATCATACCTGTTTAACCATCGACAAGGTAAATCCACAACTTTGTCCAAATTCGGCGCCATTTTGTCATCCCATGTCGCTTGTTAACAATTCATCCTTGTTACTCTTCCATCCAAGCCATTTCCATTCCACTAATAATAAATTTAACCCTTTATAACCGGAGGAAACTAAAAAATCTAAACAAAATATAAGAAATACGCCATTTTATCACCATGTAAAATTTTGCTCACGAGTATTTCAAGACATTCCGTACAAATATCGCGTGACAAAGTAACAGGGACGTGACAGGAGGGGGTGAATTATTTCACGAAGATAGAAGAAGGCTGCGTGAAATAGATTAGAAGCTAAATACAATCATACAAATGTTTGTTTTATTTCTTGTAGCGACAAATATATACATATTATTATTTATTAATATGAAAAAGTCATACAAATTAAATGTTGATTGTTGGTTTTACCATACTGTGTGGGCTTTCCTTTCATTTTTTAAGTCTCTACCACCCCTGTTACGTTCCTGTTGCTAAACCACGCGAGATTTGTACGAAATGTTTTGAAGGACTCGTAAACAACATTTTACAGGGTGATAAAATGGCGCATTTTTTATATTTTGTTTAGATTTTTTAGTTTCCTCCTGTTATAAAGGGTTAATTTTATTATTTGTGGAATGGAAATGGCTTGGATGGAAGAGTAACAAGGCTGAATTGTTAGCTCTGTCAACGGGGATGATCGAGAAAATGTCGAAGACAGATTAAAATCAGTAGCTTCTATGGCGAAGAGTTTATCCGATGTAAAAAATTCCGAAGAACAAACGAAAGAGCGCTTGCTCGAAACTACGTTGCAGACTCTTAACAATAAGCTTCAGACCTTGGAGGAGGGGATCCGTTCTAAAATGTCTTCCGTCACTGACATACTGCTAGTTCACTCCAAAGAATTGAGAGAACTGATAAACCTCGACTCTGACACTGAATTGTCATGGCTAGCTGAGAAAGGAAAATGCCAGACTAAAAGACGAGAACGAAAAGATAACCGAACGTGTAAACAACTTAAGCTTTGTGCTAGCTGATTTACAAGACAAAGCCGCACGGGCTAATGAAGAGAAAGCCAGTCTAATGACAAGTATCCGGCTATTGTTTAAGGATTTGGAATCCACTCAACCAATAAATGTAAATCACCTTGAAACTCCTCATGACCAACAACAAGCTGTTTTGGAATGTTTTTCAGATACGAAAGACACAAACAGCGAACATGTGGTCACTATTCCAACAAAAAACAGTTTTTCACCCCTACTTGTTGAAGAAACAAATACCAACGACAACGAAACCGATGCAGACAATGAAAACAACAGGCGACAACGGAGAGATTCTGCTACCCAAACGGTGAAAAAAGATCACAACAGCCACAAAAAGCCAAAAGACAAGCCCGCATATGAGCAAAGAGCAGGCTCGGAGACAGGCCATCGTCTTAATGTGGCCATTATTGGAGATTCCATGGTGAAACATCTAAACCCCTCCAAGTTGCGTAAAGGCACAAAGCATAATATCAACGTGCAAACCTTCAGTGGAACCAATGTTGCTGATATGCGTTATTATGTGAAACCAGCAATATCAAG